TCTCTCAGTCCCTCCTCACAGGGCAGTGTCTCCAAACCCTGGAATCATTTTTGTTGCTCTCCTCTGGACCCTTTCTAATTTTTCTGCATCTTTCTTAAATCTTGGTGCCCAGAAATGTCCACAGTATTCCAGATGAGGTTTGGCTAGTGAGAAGTATAGAGGAACTACTACTTTTTGTGATTTGGAAGTAATACTTCTGTTAATGCATCCCAGAATAGCATTTGCCCTTTTGACAGCTGCATCACATTGTTGGCTCATATTTAGCCTATTGCCCACAATTACTCCGAAATCTTTTTTTTTTTTCCCATTCTGTTGAGCCACGTGTTCCCCATCTTGTATTGATGCATTTGGTTTCTTTTTCCCAGGTGGAGGACTTGGCACTTGTCCTTACTGAATATTGCTTTTCCTTACTGTTGCTTTCAGCCCAGTGTTCAAGTTTATCAAGATTGCCCTGGATCTTTATTCTGTCTTCTAGGGTGTTTGCTATTCCACCCAGTTTTGTATCATCTGCAAATCTGATTTTCTTTCCTTGGACTTCTTCATCCAAATTATTATTAAAGATGTTGAAGAGCACTGGGCCCAGGACTGCACCCTGCGGCACCCCGCTAGTTACCTCCCTCCATTTGAGAAGGGGCCGTTGATGAGCACTCTTAGTGTCTGATTTAGCAGCCAATTTTGCATCCATCCACCTAATAGCTTTTCTATCTGGTCCAGTTCTTCTAATTTACTTATCAGGATGTCATGTGGCACTGTGTCAAAAACTTTGCTAAATCGAGGTCGATTATGTCCACAATGTTCCCTTTCTCCACTTGGGAGGATCCCCAGTCAAGTCTCATGATATGGGTGCTGAGAAACAGTTGGCCCTGCCTGTCCAGACCCATAGAAAAATTCCATCTCCAGGAAACGAAGAGCAATAGGATGCTGTTCCACTGGGATGCTTGCCTTTTCAGTCCTTCTAAGGGGAAAGAACCCTGAGGTCCATCAAATTAGCTCCTTGCAAACAGGAAGGGCCTCCTATTACAGTTACTGCTGGTAAGTCTGCCAGTTCTTAAACCAACTGGAAATCTTTCCTAGAAGTTGGAAAGGGGATGGGTGGCAGCGGGCAAGATCAGCAGTGTAACATTTAATATTGGAAGATAGCTGGGCTCCAGGCAGCTGTGATTATCTGTGTCCTTTCCTCCATCACAATTTGGCAGGATGAAGCTCTTTCCTTCCTGGGAGCACAGGGAACAGAGGGCTGAGCTGGCTCATCCTTCTTCTCTGGATTGGAGACAGTTTGAGGTGGTCCCTCTGGATTTTGAACATAGTACTTGATGCAGCCAAGCCAAAGCCAGGGATCCCCAAGCTCTTTCAGTGTCACTGGAGCAAATTTCCAGTTTGTCATGACTGCAGGATCCTTTGATACCCATGGAGGAAACTACCCAGATTCCATGAATATCAAGCTGACCCACCCTCACTGAGGATTTCTCCCAATGTGAATGGTTATGCCCAGATTTTGAATGGATATGGCATTTAAAGCAATTTCCTAAAGTTCTCGACTAGGAATAGACAAATCTGTCCATCTCAGTCTCTCATTTTTCCCAACTTCTCTTTGGTTTATCCTGAAAGTCAGAAAGTTGTTATTAGAGTTCTCATGAAAACTTGTCATGTATTTTTTGTGTGCATTCGTCCTAATATATGCATTTTGTATACACTTTTGCCTAATATGCAATTTTGCAAGCTATTTTTCTAATACAATGAATGCACTTCTAATATTATTTTCACAAACATATATACTTTTCATGTTCGCCTTTCCCCAATATGCTCCTCTGTGTATTCATTTTTGATTGGGGAACTGGGTTGCAAAATTTGGAGAAATGCAAATTTTAAAGGGTAAGTGTGTACTGGCTTGGAAGTGTAAAAATAAAATGTGAACTGAATGAATTTCTGGCCCATCCTTATCCAGTGCAAGAGAAACCAGATTCACGGTGCGTCTTACTTGCTGGTTTAGGAACTGAAAGTATAAATCCAGATGCAGATGCAATCTAACCACATTTGATTGCTTTCCATGGGATGCTATTACCATGCACATTGAGGTCGAACTAGTCACAAGTCAGTGCTTATTTGACCTATAGTTAGCGGGAATAGGATGCTGATGGATTAGGGTCTCCTTGGGGAAAGTCATGACTTCTGTGTCAATGAGGATCCTCAGACAATGCAGCTTTTCTTTTCAGTCTTATGGGGCCTTTATAGGAAGGATCAGTGGTACCTGAGCCCCATCTGTGGTACCTGAGCCCCATTCCCTTTATAGGAAGGATCTGTGGTACCTGAGCCCTATCCATGGTACCTGCCTCATCCGTGGTACCTGAGCCCCATCCCCTTTATAGGAAGGATTTGTGGTACCTGAGCCCCACCTGAGCCACATGCCCAAAGTAGATTCACCAGCCTGGAGTACCATGGAGAGCTCCTATAAAGCTGGAAAGACAACCTGCAAGAGATGGGGAGCCCCACCCAGAGGCCTCCCCTCAAGACTGCGTAGCCCCTCTGTTACAGCATATTAGAACCCAAGGTTCTGTGAACTAAAACAAAACCCCAAATTCCTCTCAGACCCTGTAAGAAGACTGGAAATCAGAGAGCAGATTGCGCAGGCTTGATTTTAGGATATATCCGGTGGACCCCAAAATGGTTTTTACAGACACGGTCTGCCATATAAAGAATTAATTCCTGCTGAGGCTGTAACAAAACCCCTCTCCAAATGGCTACTTTCACTTCTTTTGTGGGGTTGGGGATTTGGGTTCCCCAGATGTAGGATGTAAGCTTGTGGAAGAGGATGGAATGTTTTTCAACAGGTGTTGAATCCAGATTTAGCCATACTTAGTTTTCAGTTCAGATAGATCATAGGAAGCAACAAATAATCTCTGATTGATTGATTGATTGATTGATTGATTGATTGATTGATTAGAGGGCCAGTATGTTGTAGTTAAGAGCATGGGACTGGGTTCTAGGCCCCACTCAGCTCAGCCATGGAGCCAACTGGGTGATTTGGGCCAGCCACACACTCTCAACCTGACCTACCTCACAGGGTTGTTGTTGTGGGGAAAAGATTGAGAAAAGCACAAGGAGAATGAAGTAACCCTCTTTGAGTTCTGTAAATAAATAAATAAATACTGGGGTAGAAAGCGAATAGATGAATAATTTAAGTTCCCTTGGTTTTCCTGCTTCTACTGTAAGTATGACTGAATCTGGATCCAATCCCGGGCTCCTTAAAACAAGTGTATTCAGTCCAAGTTTTTAATCAATTCAACCTTCCCAGATAAACATGCTAATCAGAAGGCAGATATCTGTTGGACTGTGCAGTTTTCAAATTTTGTGATGCAGTTAGCTGGAAAACCTTCAGACTGAGATGCAGACTTCGAGGGAAATGCTTTACAATGCATATTTTAGGGGAAATCTGTCTAACTCAAATGTGGATGCACATGCTTTAAAACACACACAGACACAGACGGGAATAAACAGACTTGGGAATGTACACGTGCAGCAACGGCATGAACCAGGAATAAATGCATCTCCCCATCCTTAATCAGCGCTGTTCATGTAAAACAGAAAGCTGTGTGCTCTGATTTCCAAAGCCATCTCCAATGCCTTTCTCCAGTGCCAAATGATCTCCAAGAAGTGCTTATGTATGCATTATGCATGCACTGTTACATCTTGTCTCTATATTTTTGTGACTGTCTCCTTGATGCTGAATGTAAACATGACAAGAAATGCTTTGAATGAGCAGACAGATTCCATTGGAAGGGGCTTCGCTTAAAAGCCTCCAGTGGGGTCCAGACCTAAAGGGGATGCAAGCATCCGCGGTATTTCAACAGTGCTACCTTTTTTCCTTTTTTAAAATTTCACTGCGAGATTATATTTTAGAGTTCAAGAATATCTGTTCTTACAAACGACATGTAGTGATGATAATAAAACCCTTGTTGTGAAACAGTCCTTGGAATTATTTAAACATACGCACACACAGCCAGACTGTACATTGGAGGATTTTATTATTTGTTACATTTATCACCCGCCGTTGCTCAGGGTTCATTTTCCTCACAGGAACCCTGGTTGAGGAAGGAATCTGCGACTGGCCGCATGAGCATTCACACCTGGATCTGGTCCTATTCTGACACTAAGCACTGCACCCCTGTGGCAAGAAGCACTACTCTCTGCCTCTGCCTACACGTAAGTCCCAGTGCCTGGGTTCAGACAATATGGCAAGCCATGGTGGTTTTTTACCATGGTTGGGCCTGTTGTGTTGCCTGAACCCAGATGGAGTATTTCACAATGGTCAGTTGGGTCTTTAGAAACCACATTAAGAAACAGCAGCTTGTTCTATGGTTTCTCTGTATCACCATGGCTTGTTATGTGGTCTGAATCCAGGATTGTGGTTCCCAAGGCCCTGGTATAGAACTGCCACAAAGTCCCCTGGAAAGACAGGAATGGCAGGAGCCACTAACCCGAACCTTTTGCTGGGGAACAAGGGTAGGAGAGTATCATGCTCTGCGTCTGAGATTGTGTAGACCACTGCTTGACTGCTGATGAACAGAGTGCTGGACTGGAGGGACCCCCACCTGATACAGAAAGGTCCCTCTGATGTTCTCGTGTTCACTATCCCAAAGCAAGACAACAGCTTCTCTTTGGTGTCCCGCACAACAACTTGCTGCAGAAGATGGTTCCAAGCCCGCAAGGATTGTGGTTGCATATTGTCATCCAAACCAGCCAGAAACCAGGTCTAGGCCACTGGACCCCTGATTCAGCCCTTAGCCTCAGAAGCACCTCTTCCCAATCAGGGGTCCTCCTGTCGTGTTAGGCTGCATTCGCCATCACTACCAACCACTGGGGATGATGGGAGTTGTAGGCCAACTTGTCAAATGGGTTCCCACCTGGGGAAGGCTGGCCCTGCCTGAGCTTGATCTCCTGGGGCAATGGACGCCCTGAGGAGCACCGGGGCCCGAACTTCCCAGCAACCCTGATCCACCGTTTCAGACAGTGGACAGGCTGTTCCGACAGATGCTCCTCTTGGGGCTGATTCTGTCCAGCAGGGATAGTTGTGTGACGTGAGTTACGGGGCTGTTCTCTCTGGAGAGCGCCTGATGCTTCCGCGCAAAGCTCAGGTAACGCTGGTGGCGCCACCTGTGCAAACGTTTCTTGAACTCAGCCTGAACCTGTGGTGCAGACAGCAGAGACAGGAGAGGGAGTGGGCGATTACAGCTGGGGCTGAACCGGAGTTTGCAAAACAGACTCGAGACTTGGGAGGAGCTGGCCATGAAGACACATCGACTTCACCCCCTGTGCTGGAGGACAATATGGGAAAGGGACATTGAACTTGGAGCCCTGCTCCAAGCAGGGGGCTGGGCCTGGTGGCCCTCTGGCCCCTTCCACCGCTTCGAGTCCATGATTCCGAGTGTGGCCTGGACCAGGGGGTGAGTAAGGATTTCATTTGGTCCTCTTTATCGGCAGCGTCTTCATAGATGGGGCACAGACAGCTTGAAAGAAATAGCATCCGGTTGTGAATGCAATGAAGATCGACAGACTCCTTCATCCAGGCCCAGGACCTGGCGAGCTGAGCCTTCGAAAGCCCTGCTTAGGATTCCTGCACATGTGGCTGGATCTGGGCCGGCTTGTGCTTGGTGGACTTTAGGGCCCCTTCCGGACTGCAGAGCTGGAAGCAGGACAGCGCGGGGGGAGCGGCCACGGAGGCTTCCTCTCGCCCTGCAAGCGGGATCTGACTCGCTTTTTGTTTTCTACCAGCAGGAAGGCTTGTGTCACACAGAGCCACAATCCGCAAAAAATGCAGTCACTGTGTGTGCAAAGGGCACAAAATATCACTACACTTTGCGCATATGGCAGTGTTTATTTTGTGTCTTTTGTGTGCATTTTGCACAGCTTGTGGTCACATTTCTGTGTCTTTCAAGGAATCCATCTTTTAGCCTGCTTTACAAGTGGAAGATTTTATGCGGGCTGGACTCACATGGAAGCAAGTTGGCCCCAGCAGTGGCAGATGGGCCAGTCTGCCAGAGTTTGTCCCCCCACCCACCCATGGGCTGCTTACACATCCCCAGGGATTATTCCCCATTGCCCAGTTCTCAGGAGCTTCAGGAAAGCAACCCATTTGCTGAGTGGGAAGGGTTAGGGTTAGGGTTAGGGTTAGGGTGACTTATGTTCCCAGTTCCTAAGGCATGTCTTTTACAGCTGCATTTTTTTAGACAGGCACAGAAGAAGAAAAAGAAAGAGAGGGGTTTGGTGGGAGACGGACATGAGGAACGAGGATTGCCCAGAAACTTTCCAAGCATGTATCTTCATTCCTAAGGGATAGAAACTTGATCCTTTGAAAGCTGGGGATTTAGAGCAGGTGATGGGAATTGTAAATTTCGGGAGCAAGGTAAAATGTTTAAAAGATGGATGGTGTAGCACATAGCCACAGATTAGATTTAAAAGATCTAAGCATTTCTATGAAAGGCTTTTATTAGGGTAGAAGGGCAGGGCAGGGCCAGCAGGCAGGCAGGCCAAAAGGGGGGTTTGTACTTTTTTTAATCCAGATCAAAGGACCCACATAGATCATGGTCTAGTCCAAGAAAGGCTTTACCTTTCAAAAGGTTTATTTGTTTGTTTGTTTGCTTATGGTAGCCTTTAAATCATGCTCCACTTCTGTGTAGATTCTGGAGTGGTAACCAATGACAAGTCACAACCGATAAAGAACTAAAAGGGAATATTAAAAGCAGGCTATCTGTAAAAATGGAATATGAATATAAATAGGGATTTCTCCTTTACACTTACCTCTCCATTTAAGAAACAGTAGAGGAGAGCAACAACAAAGCCCTTTAAAAGGAGAAGAAAAAGATGAGAGCTACACATGCACACAACCAGATCTCAGCAGAGAGTGGAATCATAGAGTTGGAGGGGGGTTGGTTGGCCAGCTGGTCCAAACACGGCTCCAGGACAGTCTATCCCCAACAGATGGCTGTCTGCCCTCTGCTTGGAGCCTCCACTGAGCTTGATGCAGAAGGGAGCAACTCAAGCCTGGGGTGGACACTGCTTCATGGCCGTTCAAAACTCCTCTGAGCATCCTTCTCCTAAATGTTTCCATCATCAACACCATCATCTTCAAATATCAGAAATTTTAAAAAAAATAGCGACAGCAGCACCATCAGAAGTTGCTTAATTCTCCAGGGCTCGGTTGTCCTTTAGATGGGGTCAGGTGCAGGAGAAGAAGGGACCTTCCATGTGAGGATGGAGCCATTCATGAAAGGCCCTTCCACTTGACTACGGAGGATCCTCCCAGCCACACCTCCCACCCCCGCCAGCAGTGGTGTCACTGGACTCCCTGGTACCTCCTCTGGCAACTAGAGGAAACCTCCCTCGTTCCGCACAGTCCATCCACCACCCACCCGGGTCCAACCCACGGGGGCCGCCGTCTCTCCAACAGGACAGAGTCGCCCCCACCCGCAACCCTTACCTGGAACGATCCCAAGCCCAGCTCAATGTACAGTCGGGCCACCACGCCAATGCTTTCTGGGAACAAGGCGAAGACCACGTAGTGAGCCCCAAAGAGCGGGATGAGGAGGGACGTGGACTTAGCCAGTCTCCTGAAAGAGAGGGAGTGGGAAGGACCTCAGCTCAGAAAAGGCGGCAGAGCATTTCCGGAAGGTGAAGGAGTTGCTTTTCCAGGCACGCCTCAGAAGGTGGCTTGCTGGTGGGCTACTGGCTTCCACCACTAAGTGCCTTGGCATGAGGTAGCCAGACCACAACCCCCACAACCCCCCCCCAAAAAAATAACAGGCTCAACAGGACACGGCTGCATCCGGAGAGTAAACACGGGCAGCCACAGAGGCACGGACTCAACAGCCTACGCTAGGTTTTGCTCACCTGGGCTCCCCCAGCCTGGTGCCTTCCCCGCGTCTTGGACTGCAAGTCCCATCACTCCCAGCATGTGCACTGGCTTTCCAACAATGGAATGCAGGGCCTGGCAGAGTCGCTCCTGCTATTCCTCTCCTCTTCCAGGATTGCCACCTCCAAGCTTCGCTGGGGATGGGGCTGATGGAGCAGGTGGTAGCCGACGTGGAGGCAGAAGCCAGGCGAAGGGGCAACTCACCTCCATTCTGCTCGTGAGCATGCAAGCAGTGGCGCCAGCAGCCCTGATTCAGGTCCTCCCGTCTCTCCACAGCTACTGCCTAACATGCCCCGCGGGGCTGAAGGAGGACTTTCCCATTCCTCCCTCCCTGCCAGCCAATGCCCCTGATTCGGGCCTCTTCCCTTCCTTCCCAGTCGCCACATAACCCACAGCTGGAGGGAGGAGCCGGGGCACCAGGCGGAGTGCAAATGCCAGGGGACCGGCGGCCCTGCATCTTCGGCCAATGAGGAAGAGACATTTGTGCGCTTACACAAGGTTCCTTGCGTGCCTCCCTCCCGTATCAGAAGACTGCAACTTCTGCACCAAAATCCGGATGACATTTAGAAGAATACTGAAGTTCATCTAGGGAGACAAGAGGGTTGGCCTGTCAATCTCCATTAAAGCTTGGCGAACGCCTTTCTGAGTCACATAATTTTTCCAAGAAAGTTACTCTGAGAGCAGGAAGGGAGGGAGGGTAGGAGGGGAAGAAATGATACTATTAACAACCATCAGATCTACAACACATGACTCTGCAGGTCAAACTTAAGTAGTCAGTTTTCTAGCCAAGTAGCCATGCTTTGCACCTTCTGCCTAGGAACAGAGGAGACATTAAAAGATGGACTAAATTAAAAGGTAACCCAAAGATCCTCCCTGATTGGTACTCCCAGACCAATAAGGGGAAAGAGCAGTTATCCATCAATATCCACATTTCTCTGAATTTGGCAATGCAGTACAACATGTGTACAATGCACTTATATTAAGGCATATTTCACAGAATAAAACACACATATTCCAGAAACGCTATGTTATTGTATCACATTCTGGGGAATGTGAATTTGCACAACTCCTCATGTGTGCAAATGTGTATGAATGGATTTTCACAAACTCCAAGCCCGTCAGTGCTCAAGCAATGGGATGAAAGACCTTTGCAGTCCAAAACACTTAAGCATAATGGATTTTGTAGTTCTGTGTTCCTCTGCTTCCAAATAGCCTGAAGTTCTTGATCCTGCAGCATCTTGGAAGCTAAGCAGGATAAGGCCTGGTTGAAATCTGGATGGGTGGCTTAATGTTGTAACCTGCCCAGAGAGCTTCAGCTATGAGCAGTAGAGAAATGCAAATATGAATAATGATGAGGATGATGAAGAAGAAGAATGCTCGATCGTTTGGCTGACTTGGAGTACCAGGACAGGACAACGCCCAGTGTCCCCCTAGGATTAGAGGCAAGGCAGGGAAGAGCACTCGGCTCAAAAGGGAAACTCACTAGGACAGTGGCCAGGATGGGTCCCTTGATGATCCACAGGGCTGCAGAGTTCTCCTCATCGTCATCCCAGCATCTGAAACAGCCAATGCAAGGTGCAGCTATGATTTCCACTAACCTGGGAGAAGCAGTTGCCTGAATGAGCAATATCTGTCTGTTCCTCCTGGGGAGGAAAGCTTGAGAAGACCCTCAGAAGATCCGCTGTTCCACTGCCCTGGAATGCCCCCCTTGTCAGCTCCAACGATGGCGCTTCATCCTGGGAGGCTGGAGAGCGTGGAAGAACCCCATGTGGCCGCAAGGGCAGAGGGAGCCCCCCCCCAAGAGCAAAGCTCCAGCTCCAACTATGGGGGGTTTCTCAGGTCACAGGTGGGAGCCTGACCTACTGCAAGGCCCCTCGGTCAGTGCTGAGAGGCAAAAGGATTGCCCCCCAAATGAATGAAGAAAACGAGAAAGCGGGGTGGGGGGGAAGCAGAACTGACAGGAAGGCCATTTCCACTAGGAAAGGAACCTGGTGGTGTTCGAAACAATGCACGGAGTGGAGAAACAATGCATTCCCAGGAAGCTGATGGGTGGGAGAATTAGGACAGAGAACAGGAAGGATTCCTTCACCTGACACGCAGTCAGCTACAGAATTTGCTGCCATGGGAAGTGGGGATGGCTGCCAATCTGGATGGCTTTAAAGGGGGATTGGACAGATTCCTGAGGGAGGAGGCGACCAGTGGCGACTAGCCTTGCTGGCCACAGGCCACCGCCTTCACCAGAGGCATCCTGCCTGCAGACACCAGTTGCTGAGCAGCTGGGCAGGTGGAGGTCTGGCACCCGCCCTGCTGGAGGGATCCTGGGGCAGCTGGGCTGCCAGCGTGTGTACGGGGTGCTGGACTAGGGACACGTTTGATCTGATCCGGCAGGACTCTTATGTTCTTAAGAAGCTGCCACTTCTGCTGGCACAACTGGCCCCTACAACTGGGTTGTGGCCTTTCCTCTCCTACACTCCACAATGCTGGGTGCACATACAAGCAGCGCACTTCTGGAGTGTGCTGTCGTCGGCCTTTGGAGCCATGTTCTTCTGAAGAATGGGGGATGAACAATAGTATTGTAAAACTGATTGAAAACACAAATGTTTCCCAATCGGTTTGTGAAAATGTAGTCATGAGAATTACCCAGTATTCTGCCTGTACAGCCTGGTCAGCATCCATGTCAGTGTTACAGTCACTGGTGCTCCTGGAGGAAATTTCAAAAGCATCATCACCATCACCATCACCATCACCATCATCTTCATCATCATCACCACCACCACCACCACCACCACCATCATTTCTATACCACTCAGTAGTCAAGGATCTACCTTGGTGGTTCACAAAAGTCCATGAAAGGCAATAAAGCACAGTAAGGAATGCAAATCATTAAATGTCACTCTGGAATTTTACAAATCCAGCATGAAATGACTTACTTATCTAGAATGAGTTACTAAAAGCTAACCACCCCGTGGCTACAAGCCACGGTCATTCGCTTCACTGTTTCCTTCACCCTTTCTGTACCCCTCTAGCGTGAAAAGGCAAAGCCACTGAATTGGGCACCCATGCGATGCCAGGAGGCACCCACCAAAATCAATTTTACTGCCACCAGAAAAGATCACCCCGCAAACCCCTTGAACGAGTCACCGACGGTTACAGATCTGATCCTGAGTTTAAGCCCATTCACAGCTGCTCGTCCTCCTTGCCCTTTGCTCATAAAAAGGGTCTAACTGGCCATATCGGATTCCATTTCCATTTGGTACAAAAAGAATACCGCTGGTCAAAGGCAGGAGCAATAGATCAGCCAACAATTCATAGATGCAGTCAGCTACTTGTCCATGGATTGGGTGACCTTCCCAAGAATGGCATGTTGAGCAACCGAGCGGGCGAAGGGAGGCGGCTGCAAGTAACTCGGGCAAGTGTGTCCAAGCGCCTATAATGCGATAAGCACAAGGTGGGTGGTGGACCCTGGGCCCGATTCAGCTCGTCAGGGAAGGAAGCCTTCTACTGCGTCTACTAACCCCAGCCGACCAGAATGAACCTCCAAGCGTACTGTTTGTCCGGTACAAGGGCCAGCACCAGCAGCGTCTGCAGATACATGCCTTCCACCAGCAGCCAGAAGAAGTTGGCTAAGATGCTAAACTGGAAGAAGGTCACCGCAGCCTTGCATCGCACCTAAAGGATGCACACAAAACAGGTTGGTGAGCGTGGCGCCCAGGCCTCTGGCGCGCACCTCAAGAGTTGCCTCAGAAGCCATGACTCGTGGAGGCAGAGGTCCGCAAGTCCCGGCTGTTGGGGATGCCTTGTGATTCCCTGAGCGTGTGGTCCATGGACCCCCATCTTGCCCCAGCTCCCTGAATGCAGTGCCCACCACCTGCCTTATCCCTGTGCCCATGGATCCAGGGGTTCCTGGAAGCTTTTCAGGCTGGGTGTCTGTTTTCTCCTGCAACGGTGCTGAGAGAACCCCCAGGTTTATATATTAGGGGGCGGCCCCTGTGGATGGCTGCCCTTTCCTGGTTTCACCCAGGAAAACTGCCCCCTCGACCTGCATCCTTGGCTAAACTGGGCAGTTCCTTCCTGACATGGGGCCAACAAGGCATCCCCGATGCACCTTCCGCAGTCTGTTTCAAACAAGGAGATCCGAACAAACCTGGAGAGCTTTTGCACAAGCCTTCAAGCCAAGTCTCCGACCTTTTCTATGTTTCTTTTCCTTCTTCTGTTTGACTTTATCAGGGACATGGCAGACAGAAATAAAGCATGTGGAACTTTTCTATTCAGAGCTTTACTGGAGGAAAACCTGCAGCAGGTGAATTTCTGACATCCGGTTGGTGCTCAGGCATGGAGGGATGCAGTTCTCCTGGCCAATTCAGATGGCCACAGACCCTTCCCCTGACCATTGACAGCAACTGATATCAGATATTTTCACAAGGCCTTTCCAAATTTTCCCTTGGGAAAAAGTTGTGCAAAAGCCAGGAAGCCACTGAACCATTTTTGAGTTGGGGAAAGGGATTTGGGAGTTGGATTTGGGCAAGTGCTGCTCACCACCCGGAGAGCTTGTGCTAAGGGGAGAGGGGTCAGAAATAAAATGCATACATACATCGGCTGCCCATGGGGTGACCTTTAAAGACTAGCAGACAGGAGCATCAACAGGAGGGATGCTGGCAACAGGGTCAAGTTCACAGGCGGACAAATGGTTTTACCCCCAAAGTGCAGTACAGAAGGTTAATGGTGGGTCTGGCTAGAGATCAGGGTCCCATTGGCTGTGGCAAGTGGCTGACAGCCCCAAAGCCGCCTGGCAGAGCACTGCAGGTCAGCTGCTGAGGACACAATGGGACAGCGTGATGATGTTCTCCAGAACCTGTTCAGTCGCCTTCATTTCAGGTCTTCACTTATTTGTGCTCCAGCCAACGTCCAAGGGGTGTCACTGATCACAGGTCTTCCCCACTGCAAGGGGCAGAGTGGGCAACTGGATGCAGTCAAGTGGACGGCCCTCCACATCTCACCGTTCAACAAAGAGACAAGGGCTTCTGTTGGATCACCGGCTCTCGCCATAACGATTGGGGTGCACCAGCAGTTCCTCCAATGGTTATGGACCAGCTGCCGGGGCAGCCTCTCCAAGCTTGCTCCAAGGTGGACAGGCTTCCTGGTGGGAGAGCTGGAACTTCTATAACAGGTCAAGGTTTCCCCTTGACATTGCGTCCAGTCATGCCTGACTCTAGGGGACAGTGCTCGTCTCCGTTTCCCAGCTGAGGGAGCCAGCGTTTGTCCGCAGACGGTCTCCGTGCTCATGTGGCCGGCATGGCTAAACACCGAAGTGCACGGGACGCTGTTACCTGCCCACCGAAGTGGCACCTTTTTACCTACTTGCATTTGCATGCTTTCGAGCTGCAAGGCAGGCAGAAGCTGGGACGGAGCAACGGGAACTCGCCCCGTTGTGCAGATTCGAACCGGCGACCTTTCGATCACCCAGCCCAGCAGCACAGCAGTTTAAACCACTGCGCCACCTGCAGTCCCTGGAACGTCTATAAACCGTGGCAATTCCCCCTCCCCTGGACACCAGTGCTGTCATCCCTTCAGCCTCAGGCAAGAGGGTTGTGCTGCTCCTCCACAGAATCCGGCCCTTCTCCGTTCGCTGGCCTTCTTGCGCTTGGCTCTCACGTCTGAGGTGAGCCAAGCCGAGCTGGGAGGAGGCCCGCCAGCACTTGCAGAATTGGCAACCTGCTTCACAGCATGTGCAGCGCAGACAAAGGCTGCGAGTCACATGTGTGGGAGAGGACGCTGTTCGCACACAGCACTGGCTCACTTCGTGGCAGGCGCACCTGTGCAGGACATTCGGCTGACTCTCCAGGAAGTTGCACACATGGCCATGAGAAAGCGACCAGAGGCTGAGGCGCTGAGCCCAGGGAATCCAGTGGATTCCCACCCCCAGTGTGGATTCCTCACACTTCCTGTGCAAGCAAAGTCCTTTCTTTTCTCCCAGGCATTTCAGAGTCCTAATTCATAATACTGTATTTTATTCTTTTCAGTGTTTTCCTTGTATTTCATGCTTTGTTCCAAATGGCATTTTTAAACCAGTCGTAAACTGCCGAGAGAGGATTAGCTGGAAATGTGCTGCATAGCTCTCTGGGGAACCCCTCTGGGCTGATACGACACAGAGGTTGCCCTGAGGTTTTGCACAAATGCCTTAGGAGAAAGCCATATTGCAGAGCGAGGGAGACGCATACTGTTGACATTAGGCAGTGGTCCATGCTGTCATCTGAGAACAAGACGGCATCTTTGGTGAAAACAGCAGCCGCTCGCAGGATGAATGAGAGGAACAAATGCATGTGGATGTAATTCCGCGTACAGTGGAACTTTCTGGAAAGAGCAGAATGACAAAGTTTCATTTTGCGAATGAACACAACCAGCTGGATTTTGGCCTTGGGGCATTTATTAGCTAGTGGCTTCAGCTAGAACTCCAGGTGAGCCCGAAGCATTTATTTATTTAGTTATTTATTTTTCAATTTATATCCTGCCTTTTTCCTACAAGGGGCTCAAGGCAGCTTACATCTCCTCCTCCATCTTATCCCCACAACAACAACCCTGTGAGGTAGGTTGGGCTGAGAGGCTGTGACTGGCCCAGAGTCACCCAGTTGGCTCCATGGCTGAGCGAGGACTAGAACCCAGATCGTCTGAGTCCCAGTCCCATGCTCTAACCACTACGCCACACTGGCTCTCATGCAGATGGCACCACAGCACAGCCAAGTGAGCACATGTCTACCTTGATGGTCCTAGAAGACCTCTCTGGCAGCTGGACACAACCATGCGGCCTTCGTTTGAGAGTCAATAAGCAAATATTCTGTGACAGCAGCTTCTGGTCACTCTAGTTCTGACGAAGTGCACGGTGCCCTTTCTGGCTGACAACACTGCGGGTGCTGGACCAGGTTTGAGGGAGTCTCTACCCAAGAACTTTATCTTTGAACTAGACATAGACTGGACCAACCTTCAAATACAGGGCGCCTAAAAAATGGAGTGCAGTCCTTCTAAGAAAGGACCGCCCTCTGTAAAAGAAGATACGTGGCCACCCTAAGGGGTCTAAGGAGTCATAGCCATTATTTGAGGCCACTCTGTGCGTACCGATGTCTCGGCAGTATATTTACTCCCACCTTGGCAGTGGCAATAGATACACGGGAAAGAAAGCCACTGAAGCCCAGGCTGTTCTAGGAGGTCGGTCTCCTTGAATGGCCCAAGCTCCTAGTGTAGGCACTGGATGAGGAAAACTTCAAGTACACCAGCCATCTGTGTGCATTCCTACCCTAAATGGCTCCGGACCCGGATATCTGAAGGAGATTCGCCTTTCCTATGTGCCTCCCTGTCCCTTAAGATCTGGGTCGGAGCTCCTTCTTCGGGAACCCTCCTTGAAGGGGATTAGGGGGGTGGCTCCCCCGAGAAGGGCCTTTTCTGCAGTGGCACCCCGATTATGGAATACACTCCCCAGAGAGGTTCGCTTGGCACCGACCCTTTATGTTTTTCAACGCCAGGCCAAAAACTGTTTATTTTCTTAGCATTTTAAGGTGAATTTATTTATTTATAAAATTTGTATGATGTCCAATTACTTGAGTCTCTGGACGGCTTACAAACATAGATAAATTGACAATCCACTCTGGCTGCAAATTAATAAAATACAACAATAACATTCAGTATTAAAACATATTAAAATATTGATTAAATAAAAAGGTCTTGACCTGGCGCCGAAAAACATATAATGACGGTGCCAGGCGGACCTCTCTGGGGAGCGCATTCCATAGGTGGGGCGCCACCTCAGAGAAGGCCCTCCTCCGGGTACTCACCCTCCTAATATCCTTCACGGAGGGTTCCTGGAGAAGGGCCTCTCCCGCTGATCTCAAGGGGCGGGAGGGCTTATATGGGCACAAGCGTTCCTTTAGATATCCAGGACCCAAGCCATTTAGGGCTTTATAGGTCATAACCAACACCTTGAATTGGGCCCGGATTTTGATGGGAAGCCAATGGAGCTGATAGAGGGCTGGGGTTATATGAGAATAATGCCCAGCCCCTGACAGCATCCTGGCAGCTCTATTTTGAACCATCTGAAGTATCCGGACTGTCTTCAAGGGCAGCCCACATAAAGTGCGTTACAGAAATCCAACCAGGAAGTAACCAATGCGTGTTTCACAGTCGCCAGGCAATCGTTCTTCAGGTAGGGACGCAGCTGATGGATTAGCCGAAGCTGAAGGAAAGTGCTCCTCGCCACTGCTGTCACTTGGGCTTCCAAGGACAGCTCAGGGTCGAGGAGCACTCCCAAGCTGCGGACCTTGTCCCTAAGAGGGAGTGCAACCCCATTCAGGACAAGGTCCAGGTCCCCCATCCCGAGGCCCGAGCCACCCACCAACAGGACCTCCGTCTTGTCTGGATTGAGCTTCAGTTTATTGGCCCTCATCCAGCCCATTACCTCGGCCAGGCACCGGTTTAGATTGTTATTCTAATTGAGGTTTTATTGGACAGAATGGATAATATGCTATACTTTGTTTTACTGTAAAGCTGTCCCTTGAGTATTTGGTAGTGGATGGTATACAAAAGTTTTAAAGAAAAAAATAACATAAAATTTCTATTCCGGCTTCCCTAATCAAGTCCAGAATCACAGCACAGCATAATGGAGGCATCTCTTCAACCAATGTTTTGCCAAGCATGAATGGAACCGCAGAGCGGTGCATCAGCCGCTGGATTTAACAGGCTTACAGGGAGTGCTCTCTTTAAATAATGAGGTATGTTATAGGACTTCTGTTAAACATGGTAAGCCAGTTTGGCTCAGTGGGGTCCTGGAGCTCTGTGACCTTGCCCCACAAGTTCCCAGCATGCAGGGGACTCAACCCTTCCATGGGGAAACAGCAGAGCCGAACGCTGAGTGTTAGCGGCTGTCAAGAGGAGCTAGATGCGGGTGCAGAGACTGGCGGGCATGATCACACTTTACCTGAAGAAGGCAAAAATGAGGAGAGCTGTAATGAGCGATGCCAGAGATATTGCGTAGCCGGCAGTGTAGATGTGCCGAAATGCCAGATAGTATGCTTTCTGTGGGGGAAAAGAGAAGATTCAGAAGTAGAGACCCACGGGGAGAACTCGACTCTTGGAATTCCAGTCTGGTTTCACTTGAAGGACAACAGGGTCAAAAGACCAAGAAGCTGCTCCTTCCCTCGCCAATGCATCAAATGCACTGGTTTGTTTTCAAGTATCTTGATTAGCAATGGGCGGTTTCAGTGGCCTCAAGGTGTCATCCTGTCCTCTTCTAAGGGCAGAAGGATTGTTTTTGTTTTGTCATAGTTGAGCTGTTTGGTCAGTTCTTTTTCAATATTTTGTTGGGACCAGGAGAGCAAATGGAACCGCCTGTGAAAGTTGGCCATCCTAGGGGTTCCATCCTGATTTAGTCATTCTCCGAGTAGACCCACTGAATTTAATAGGGCTGAAAGTAGCCGTGATAAATGTAGGTCTTGTTTTCAATTGGTCTCTAAGGATGGTTTACAAGAATTGAGCAGAACTGCCAAGGACAAGGATGTTTAGGGTCACCCTAAGCCGAAGAAGACTTGATGGTGCATAACACCACCAACAACAACAACTCTAAAGATGTCTAAATCTGGATCCAATCCAGGTTCTCGAACATCCTGGCCACCAAATGATCAGAAAATGCAGCACGGAGAGTGGACTTTACCTGCCTGGCATAACACATTTATTCTGACTGCAGCCTTCCAGAATCTTTGAGCAGGTGCCAAGGCAGACAAATGAACAGGCCGCCACAAATGCCAGGCCACCCTAAGAAACACCCATCCAAACAAGATGTTCCAGACACTGCAAGTCCTTCCCCCGTTTCAGTACAAGTCAACACACTTCCATTTGCTTCTACACATGGAAAGAGCAAAAGGGATTGCAGTCATGGAGCTGAATGAGAGGAGATTATTTCTGCCTGAAGGCTTCAAGAGCAAACATTTTGCTTGCTTTGACTGAAAACGTCCTCTAAAGTTTAGAGGAAGTTTAGAGTCTAAACCGTGACCCCTCACCAGTTTCTCCATCTTTATGCAACCTCTTTTCTCTCCATCAGTTTGCATCTTATTGGCATTATTCTGTGGCCTCATCCAAAGAAGTCCTTGGAAGCCACGCTGGAACAGGCCCAAACGTGTTGGGCAAATCTGGATTTGATGTTCTGCATTTCTGAGTGCTTTTTCAGCACTCTTTTCAGTCCTCTTGCAATGCAGAACAAATTAAAGCAACAAGCACTCCTGAAAAGACTGGTTTCTGGCAGTGATGAATAAGGTCTTCCTCTTATCCACAAGTAATCTTCACTCCTTGTGTTTTTTAGTCTCAATGGCGTTTATTTGACCTCTGCCATATTATCAGATATCCAAGTGGGACTGCTTGCAGAGCATCAAGATGGTCATGGCAGAATTTCTAACTTGAGGTGCCTGCGTGGCTAGCACAGCCCTTCTTTCAGATACCTTTGTCTGTGCCAAGTGATGTAACCCCACAATCAAATCTGATTGGCCATATGAGTAAAATGGCATTCCAGTACTACTACAGGATCCCTGATTGTCTGGGATCACATTTGCCTACTTGGTTCAGAGGTGGGAATTAAATAAAGCATGTTAGCAAGACATTCTCCTGAAACAAAATCACTAACTTGGGGTCTAACATTGAAACTTGAGAATATGCAGTGGCGACTGACCTGATCTTCTGGTCCTTTTGTTAAACCCTCTTCAAACCCACAGGCAACTGAATATGGTGGAAATGGCTCTGACCAGAAAACACCTGGGGTACAATTTCGGTGCAGGAACCCTGAGAAAAGGTAATACTTTCATCATTGAGCAATGGAGAGACCAGAACCCAACATATACGATACTAATACAATGTCCGTCATGAGTTCACAAGGCCATATTTGAGACTGTGAGACTCAGGCAATCAGAAACAGAGAACCCTAAATAGCTGGAGTAGCTTAGAAGCCATGAGACCGGCTGGCCTGAAGCTTCCTGTTCCACAGCGCCCCCCTCCCTGAGAGTGGTAGAAAGAGAAATTGCACTCAGCTGGCCCTGAAGGAAGCAGTTGGCTTGAGGAATCGGAGACGATGCTTAGTGGCTTTGTATAAGGACTCTCTTCGGCTTGCCTCCCTACCCCGTCCATCACTCCGACTGGCCTATACCAATTCAGCCAGCCTTCCATTCTGCTGCAGCTCTTTGGATCCTTCTCTGCCTGAAACAAGACTTGACTCCCCGTCTACACCCTTTGCCTCTGACCCCGGTAGACCCTGGCAGAGGAATAGAAAATTGTGGGGTGATGGGGGTGATGGGGGTGGGGGTGGGGGGAAGACAATATTTCTTACCATGGATCTTGGTGATTTCTTCAAAAAATCCCGGACAGGGGAGCGTTACAACCTCTCCAAATGTGGCTTTGGGCCAGCAGCTCAGTCCATCCCAAATTCCTGCACAGCCTATGGAGAAACTAAATGTGAGGTTGAAGAGTTTTACCCTAGAGGGTCATGAAAAGTGTCCTGAGGGGGTTGATCTGTAATAACTCTGGATCTAGATTCCATGGAGTTTCAATTAGTTTTCTTTTGCTGGAGTAAATGTGAGACAGGCTAGGAAGTTTGGCAATCACCGCCCAAGTTTTCAGTAGGTGTGGGGAATTTGGAGACAGGTGCAAAAATTCAAAAGAGTTTAAATTTCTATGAATTTGACGTGCAGATGGGTGTTGGAAAATCCAAAAGGCATCTCATTGATGGAATCCGATTTTGTGTAAATGCATTCACATGCATCTGTGGAAATTTCGAGTTGTTCAAATACATACTCGCAAAAATTTGTAATTCCTTCCAGATATGCAAATCCCTGAAAAAATACAGGCGTTTTTGCCCATGGGGAAATGTGCATATTTTGTTGGTGTATCTTTTTATTTTAATTATTTTCTATCACTTTAACTAATAAAAATAAAAATGGGACAGGAAGTAAATGGAATATGAATAACTCAGGAACACCAAATCCAGAAGGAATCTTTGAGACAGATCCTGTGAAGTCCAAAGTCAGTTGCATTCCTTGTGGATTTCTCCAACTTTCCTCCCGAAAAATTCTGCTAGCTTTTTCCTAAATCAGGAGGATCCTGCCAATTTGCAAATGACGTTTTCAATCTGAGACTGGGGCACATTTGCATTAGTACTACTTGTCAGGTGTGCAAGTCCCCCTTCTCATGTTCGGAACAACAGACCATTCTTTCTCCAATGTCCACTCAACAAATCCTAACCAGCAAACAAAGAGTATCTGAGCAGCCACAGAGCAGTTTGTTGAACCCAAACTAGAACCTACTTCCCACAACCCTCCTTTTGTGTATCCCTGGGCCCCACCGCTCTGGGATGGCCCTCCTGGAGGTGGGCCACCTCACCAGCTGGGTAGCCCTTCTCTCCTAACAGTTGTAAACTGTGGCCATTCTTGGGGTCCACCGGAACACCAGGAGAGGAAGGCCTTGAGGATGGCTCTCCTGCCTCTTCCATCTCAATATCTGGAGGACCCGCTTCCCTGAGCTCCTGCTCCTCATCTGTCATGAGGTCGGAGCACTCAGCCCAATTACTCTCACACACACAGGCAATAAAAGTTTAAAGTCCTTTTATTCTAAACAACTGCAAGGTCTATGGGTGACGGATGATACAGGAGCTGCTGTGGGTGGTACTAAGCAACACAGTTGCCCCCTCCTTTCTGACTTCTCTGAGATTTACGATGTAGATGTCACCCTCCGTGTCTGTCCCTCCCTCTGGGGGCTAGATAAACGCCTTTCCCATCTTCTTGCACTTTGCCTCTTTTCTAATTGGTCCAAGCATCGAAGTCTCCTCCTCAGCTGGGCATTCTCCATGGCAGCAAACTGTTCAGCCTGATTCCCAGGAACTTGCACAAAAACTTCAGAGCCAGGTGGCGGGGTGGGGGGGAATGTTTGTGCCATGGGCACCAAGTAGAAATCTTCCTGTTCTAAAGCCTGATCCTCGCTGGGGGCTCCTGGCCCTCTTTCACATGCTAACGACTCCTCTGAGTCGTTAGGCACGACATCATCCTCTGAAGAGTCCACATCTCCCTGGCCTTGAAACATGTGCCAAGAACAACTCCGTCTTCCACTCCCAGCACATTCATGGAGTTGTGTAATTGTGTAAATGGGCTAGTCTGCAGCAGCTCCTGGACATCTGCTTCCATCCATGGGTGGATGATGGAATGAAAGTTACCTGAGAAGCCACAAAACAGATGCAATGGAATTAACCAAAGCCATGGAGAGAGAGGTGGAGATCCCCGGGGAAGTATGCCATAGATCACCTTCTTCAGTGTCCTGCAACCCACAGTGGCTACAGTAATCAATCAGATCCCCCTTTTTTCCTATTGGTCTGTTCCTCCCTTTTCTTGCTGCTCCTCCTGTTGTCTTAGTCTGTAAACTTCTTGGGGCAGAGACCTGTTTCTTTCTAGTTATGTAAGTCTAGAAGTCACAGCAAGCACAAAAGGAGAAGTAGAAATAAAAGAACAATTCTGGAGACAAGTTTCTAATTGTTTCTAATTTCTAATTCCAAACAGAGCCCAGGTACTTTGGAGGCACCAAAACTGAAGATGGGCTCCCCTGAAGAGACCTGAATCTGATTCAGGAATTGAAGGCATTGGAGAGAATAGTAAAAAGAGCTCACAAGTCCAATCCATCCATTTTCACACAATTCTATTTTGTCAAAATAAGAATGGCAGAGGAGCTCCCAGAAGTCTTTGCAGAATGGAGCCCATGCCTGTTACCTTGAAAATCCGGGAAGAGGGTGTCATTTTTATCCAAGCATCGAGCCTCATCTTTCATAACCTGTTGAAATATCTTGCATTCCGGATGGATGGAAGCAACCTAGCAGAAAAGAAAAAAATGACCAATGAGCAGGTGTTCCTCAGTAAATACAACTGGGAAAGGGCCCTTCGTGCAAGTATAAGCAGAATAAGAACTGGGTCTGGTTTGATTCTTGCACCATATTTGGCAGGTCACCTGAAGAGGGGGAGGGACAAGGCAGGCGTGGACCATCCTGGTCTCCTCCATGTTCTATACCTTGGGAAGGTGAAAGCCCACAGTGGGGTATCTTCTCAGCCTGTGGAGACTCCTCGCATAATTTAGAACTACAGTCCTTGAGTAAGGATGTATTACTGTATTCACTGGTTAAGCTCATGGAGGTCTCCTGAATTCTTCCTCAATCAGGAAACTCTTCAAGTTCTCACATCACCTAAAGCATAACCAAACAGATGGAGGTACTGATCTGTGCCTCCATCTGATGTTCCAATGGGCATCTTCTTGTCCATTTTTGATAGGGACACCAGTTCTTCGGGCTCTACTTTGTCTTCCCAAGTTCTCCATCCAACCCCACCAGCCCTGGTCCTGGTGTTTCAGTCAAGGATGCTTGCCACTTATGAACTCCACGATCAGGGGTTCTATGCTTAGGAACACGAATGATTGGGAACTTGAGTGGGATGGAGCTGTTGAACCCATGTCCTCCTTGGGGATTTCCTATGGGCAGCTGTTGGTCCCTGTGTGAACAGAATGCTGCATTAGATGGGGCCTTGATCTGATCCCAATGAATCTGGATGCTAAATCAACATACACCACCGTGGAATTGCCCACTGGAAGAATCACAAGGAAGTCCTTCTTGGCCAGTCTTACAACAGAGGTGAGTCATACTAGGAGAAAGTACGAAATCCTAAGTAATTTAGGTCTTCCTACAGAAGGCTCAACTCCTTAAATGCCAATCATTTATTGGGAGAACAGAAAAAAGCTTGCTTGATCTTAGCAATCACATGAAGAGAACAGGAAGACCTACCTAAAGAAAAGATAGTATTTATTTTTAAATTTATCATAGCATTAAGTAATGTTCTTTTCTTCCTTTTCAAAATACTTGAAACACAATGTGCTCACCCACAAAGCCAACATAGTATCTCTTGGTATTCTAAAATTGGAAACTTCTTTGTCAGTGATGGTCCGGTTGTTTTCAAAGGAATCGTCATATTAAAAAAAAAAAAAAAAAGAATCAGACCATAATGAATTTTGCACTGTGTTGGACCAAATAAATCCCTGACTCTCAACAATAGGAACAAAATGATTACTCCAAAAAGGGTAATCCAATCTACATTTCAAAAGATCCCATTCAGTGCTTCAGCTGGAAATAAAATGGTTTTTTTCCCTCTACTTCCACTGCTTTGACTGTCTAAGATGCTTTTCAAGGATTGTAATTATGTGAAATTGTTTGGATTTCAAAAGATGTAGAGGCAGGTTCTAGTTTGCACCGGTTCTAGTTTGCCTTTTTTAATATAGACCCTCTTTTGTCTGAAACACCAAAATGTATCCTATGCAAAGTGACTGGGAAATGGATCCTGAGCTTTGGACCTCAGTGCCAAACACCTGGAGAGTCCAGGGAAGGATCCTGGCTTCATTCCAGATGTAGGGGGGAAAGTTATCAAAAAGGACAGTGAGAAAATCGCCCCAAATCAGAACTTTCCCACAGATATGAGTGTTCTGAGAGGTCAGATCTTTCACACACAGGCGCTCAGCACCAGCTGGAGGTTAGCAATCCTGCTCTCTGTGTCAGAGGGGTCATGACATACGTACATACGATCCATCCTATTTACGCCCTTCCTTATTTTCCCTGCAAGGAACCCAAGATGGCTGACATAATCCTCATCTTCCTCTTCATTTTATCTTTTCAGCAACCCTGTGAGATAGCTTAGGCGGAGAGCTGAGGACTGGTCCGAAGCTCACCTGTGAGCTCCATCACTGAGTGCCGACTGAAACCTGGGTCCCCCGAGTCTCCGTCTAACCACTACGCCGCACCTGCTTTGCTTTCCACATTTCTGGGACTTATGTCCTTTCCTGCTCCACAGCAGGTGTGGGCAGACTTTAGCCCTCTACATGTTTTGGCCTTCTCATTTCTGCTTCTTATGGCCTGTCCTAGCCAGCACATCCTGCTATGTAAAATGCCCAGAGAGCAATTTTACACAGCTATTGGGGCAGTATGGAGATGAAATAAATAATTGCATAGGGTTACCTGCATGACCTTATCACAGGGCTAGACAATGTGGTGTTCAAAGACACGAGGGTGACATCTGCACACCTTTCTCAGCACCTACCTGGTTGGCCCCGGCCTTCCAGCTTAAAAAAACGAGCATGCCCTCTTACCAGCAGCTGGGATTGCTTTGAAACATGGCTTCCATTGGTAGTGCAAATTGTGGGTGTTCTTTAGCAAATGCAGCATGGACCTGCTTTTGAGCAGGATGGCTGTCATTTTCCGTGCCTCCCACGGGATCCGGGCTGTGCTAGTTCCCAGGAAAGTCTTTGGATTTACCACGGTGCCCCATGGTCCCTGCTGTGCAGGCGAGTGACATGCAACCCACACGCATGTTGATTAGATCATGCAAGAAGGAAAGCAGAACATTTCTTTGGGTGGGCATCACATCGCAGACACATCTTCATTTCTTCATTTCTGTAGCTCATAGAAGAGGGAGGGCTGCAGTTAATTTTAGAATTTCTCCACGTTTCTTTGGCATGCAGGTGGAGCAGAAAACAAGCCTAAACAGATGTACAGGAAAAGAGTGGGATGGAAGAGATAATCTTTAAGGGAAAAACTACTCAGTTCACAGCTTCCCTGAGCCGTGGGGGAAACATTGTCTCCCCAGAATATTTCAGATATATGGATTTGGGGTCAGGATGAGCAGCAGAGAGATCATGGCCCAGTGACAGAAGACATGCATGCAAAAGTTCCGTCTCCAGAGAAGGCCAGAAGAGAATCCTGCCTGAAACCTGACGAGCTGCTGTCAGTCAGTGTTTTCACTATTGGGTTAGATGGACCCAGGGTCCAACTCTGTACAAGGCACCTTCTCATATTCCTCAGGTTATTAAAGTCCAGCAGTTAGTATACCAAACTTTTCTAGTGTCCAAACCCGGGACAGAATTTAAGATGCCATACCAGGCCCTAAACACCTTCAGATCATTAGGACGAGCCCCTTGGAGGGAGGTGTCTTCCCCAGGGATTCTCTAGATAAGAGCTGTTTTTGCTGTGAGCACCAAAACTGTTTCCATTAGTGAAGCAGCAGTGCCCCTCCCCTCTCCCAGAAAGGAGGGAGGTCAGAGCATGTGAGTCTGGATGGCTTCTGAGAACGAGGAGAGAAGAACATTTCAGCTCCGTGGCAAGAGGTGCTGTCTTTTGTTCTCAATCTAGGGAATGGAATTCACATGTCACTTTGGAGGCAAACACAGCAGGCCCAGACCTGTTCAAGGAACGAATGCAATAAAGGGAAGTACAAACTTTTGCTCAATTGTTTATATTTGTTGAAGTACCACATCTATATTTCAACATGACAGGCAATCCACTGGCTTTGACACTGCCTTTGTTTCTTCCTTTCTGCATAAGCATTCTTGCATATTAAGTAAGGTACCTGTGCTAGACCAGGCCCCTGGGGTTGAAGATGGAACCTTGAACTCAAAATATTGGGGCTTCCTTGGTGGGGTCCGGGAGAATGTTTTTCTCTTTTCAGTACTTCTAGCACCTCTTTTAAGGTCCTAGCCGTGGCCGTGCATCAATTTGTTTGAAGTCGCATTATACCTTCTGCTCTGTTCTGGCAATAAAAGGGCTCTCCTCCTTGCTGGATAGAGAGGCTGAACTAACATTCATATTCAATATGTATTGCTTTGATCTAGCATAATGATGCTTCTTCTGCCAGGCAGATCAGATTGAAATAGCCCCGAATTCAAATGAAAGTAGGCGATTTCATTAAACATCCATGCTTAAAATATCACCACGCATCGAGCGGTGATCAGCTGGAGATCAAAGTTCTGGTAGTTAAATGCGCTCTACTTTTTAAAGCTGCGTGTTTATTAATCACTGCCTATCAATACATGCATGCAAAATACATACAGTATGTGTGTGGGGGTGTTTTTAGTACATTTGGGCCTGAATGTTGCTTAAAGTGACTTTGTGGGGAGCATTTGGGGATTGAGTGAAGATTGAGAAAAGTTGCGTAGGCTCAGATTGTTCTCCCCTAACAAACTGGAGAGTTGTGTCTTCTTGCCTTTCATTTACCACTGAGTTTTGCCGTAATGGAAATCCGCCATGGAGGAAGGAAGGTCACTATGGAGTTCCTCATGGCTGAGAAAGAGTCCAAGTTTCGCAAGGAATTTGGATGAGGATAGAAATAAAGGCTTCTCTACCAGGTCTTCGGGACCGCAGGTGGCGCGGTGGTTTAAACTGCTGTGCTGCTGGGCTGGTTGATCGAAAGGTCGCCGGTTCGAATCTGCACAACGGGGCGAGTTCCTGTTGCTCCGTCCCAGCTCCTGCCAGCCTTGCAGCTTGAAAGCATGCAAATGCAAGTAGATGAAAAGGTGCCACTTCGGTGGGCAGGTAACAGCGTTCCAGGCACTTCGGTGCCTAGTCATGCTGGCCACATGACCACGGAGACCGTCTGCGGACAAACGCTGGCTCCCTTCGCCAGGAAACAGAGACAAGCACCGCCCCCGAGAGTCAGGCATGACTGGACTTCACGTCAAGGGGAAACCTTGACCTTTACCTTTACCAGGTCTTCAGCGAGAATTTTTCAGCTGATGAAGAGAAGTGAAGGATCCTACATTGTCTTCTCCATCATGCCCTCGCTAGGCGCTCACACACAGCGCAGTGGTAAAGAGCGCGGGACTGGGACTCAGGCGATCTGTGTTCGAGTCCCTGCTCAGCCATGGAGCCCACTGGGTGACTTTGGGCAGTCACAGATTCTCAGTCCAGCCTACCTCACAGGGTTGTTGTTGTGGGGATAAGATGGAGAGCAGCAGGAGAAGAATGGTGTGAGTCTTTCAAAAAGAAAAAGGTGGGGTATAAATCTAATTCATAAAGAAAGAAATGTTGCTGTTCTGCTAGAGAGATGACTGACAAGGACTTACTCAATGGCTGGCGCTTAGTAGACTTTAGGGAGCTGGGCTGACTCAAGGGCCAAAAGCGACTGCCTGTGTGTGTGTGTGTGTGTGTGTGAGAGAGAGAGAGAGAGAGAGAGAGAGAGTGTATGTGTGCATGTGTGTGTGTGTGTGACAGCTTCCCCTTTTGAAACAAGCATGATTTGCTTTTTTTTTTTTAAGCTGGGGAAATTTGCATACATGATAGCCACTGAAATGTATGCAAATTCCCTCAGCTTTGGAAAAGGAAAGGGACAAATTGCAACCTGCTTTGAAAAGCAGAACACAGCCGGCTAAACGCATGTCATTCCTCTGATGTTCTTTGCCCCATTGATCAGAGTCCGCCTAAGCTAGAAACCATTCGGACATCTTTTGG